CAGTTAATCTTAAAAAATAAGGATTTGAAGTTTTAAAAGGACGACATTCAAACATCCTAAATGTTTGTACTAAACCTACTCGTATCAAATCAAAACATTGTTTTAATCATCACTCTATCTTTGTCGATTGTTTGAGATCAAATGACATACTTAGATTTTTTTTATTGCCACCTGAAGTTAAGTGGTAATAAAGTCCAAACGCGAAGATAGCTGGTACAGCAGTTATAAACTGCCACACCAACCATCCTCCCCTTGCCGGCCTGCAGAAATGCTTCTTCACGTCTCTCTTATAGGACCCCAGCTTGTAGGAAGGCGGGAACACGTGCGTGGGCAAAGAATTCCACTTACGATTAGTAAGCGACTAAGAGTGGTTCCCGCTCGTTAATTTTGGTTAAAGTAGACGGTTCAAATTTGTATGGAGGGTGGTAGGGTCTCCGGCAGATTCCAAATGTTTATGAGAGGTAGTGCACTTAAATGTAAATCGTTTGACAAAAACTAGAGTGTATTTTACACAGTTTTCTTTTAAATAATTATTCTAATCCGAAATTACACAATTATATTAATATTGCATGAAGTAGTTATTCACAAATCAATAAAAAAAACAATTTACATTTAGATATTAAACTAAAAGTACATGAAAACTAAACAAAAATTTAAAATATTAAAAAAATAGCTGCCCTAAGTCTTCCCCGTCGGCAAAGGCTGGCGGCATTTCCCCGCTGAATGGCGAGGCTTATGCGCTGGGCGACATAGCCGCCAGCTCTGCGGTCTCCAGTGGTCTCCACCAATCTTTTCGCGATATCTTTGAAAAGATGGTGGGCACCGGATCCCCAGGGTCCCCGAGTCTCGACTCCAAACGCCGCAAATGTGAGGTCTCCACTGAGGCAATCATACTTGCGGCGCTTAAGGGCCTCTGCGGTCGAAGCAGCCGCGCCAGCCTGCATCGAGGTTCCGGGAATATGAGACGGGGCCAGAGTGTCGACGCAGGTTGCGTGCCACACAAGTGCCCGTCCCAGCTTCCAAGGAACGAGTGTCATGCCGTCGGGCCTCTTACCGTCGAATTAATTATTAATTGGCAAATGGCATGTTTGATTATCAATTTTTTGTTGCCAAAACATCATATACGAGTATATTCTATTTAATATGTAACTAAAGCAGTAATAAATTACTCTGTTCATCTTTCGTTACATTATTAGGTATTTCGTGGTGAACTTATCATCATCATCAACCCATGTTCGTCCACTGCTGGACATAGGTCTCCCCTAATGCACGCCACTGCTCCCGATTTTGTGCTACTCTCATCAGCCCACTCCAGCCAGCCTTCGAATATCATCATCCCATCTTGTCTCTGGGCGTCCTACACTACGTTTACTGAGTCGTGGTCTCCACTCAGGAACTTTCCGGCTCCAACGGCCATCAGTTCTGCGGCTAATGTGACCAGCCCACTGCCACTTCAGTTTGCTAATTGGGTATATGTCGGTGACCTTTAAATTTAATCATAAATTGGTATAAGTTCACCACAATTTCACGCATATCATGCATAACTGGACTGATCGTAATTTTTTTTCTGTGGTTGTTTTTGTTTTACACAGAAAGTTCGCCAATGTCCCATAGTGAGAGAGACACGAGACAAAACAGGTTGCTCGGTATTTATTTATACCTATACAAATTAATATTTAATATTTTATCTGAATAACCATTCTTCCTTGAGCTTTTCACTTTGTTCTTCTGAAAGCATAACACACACACAGACGACACAGGGTTATCAGTGGCGGCGCTAGGCGTCGGCGACGTCGGCCACAGCCGACGGCCTCGCGCCTGAGGGGGCCTCGCAAAAATTTTTACAAGTTACCTATTTATTTTCGTTTCTCCTGGCCTGGCTTAGGTAGCCGACCCCGAACAATTCGGGGAAAAAGCTAAGCAGATGATAATGACTTTTATTATTTTCGAACACGTGCGTGATGGAAGCGAGTAGTACTTTACGGGTATTCAGAATCGTCTGTCTGACAACACTATTTTTGTAATTAAATTTCTATGTTTGTAATTATTTTTTTTCATCGTTTGATAATCAACAATAAAAATCGTTTACTCATACGTTATTTTATAATTTGGCTCACTTAATTTAACGGTTTTTTACTGCGAATTAAAATAGGCCTCGCGAACTTGATGCTGCCGACGTCCTCATGTGGTCTAGCGCCGCCACTGAGGGTTATAATGATATATAAAATTGATGCAATTTAATAGGTAGAACAAACTATTATTTAAATAAGAGAGGATATAAACATTATAGTTTGATGTTATATTTTTTTAATACCATATATACTCGTATATTTAAATAAGCAGTAAAAGCCAGACTTGTCAGAAATAGTTAAAATAGTATTAAGGTTAACGGGTCGTTGAGTTTTGGGCCGAAGTAGAGAATATAGAGTGTTTAGATTAACATTTACTGGGTAGTTCCTTCTCGATGGAGTGTGATCAGTTGAAGAGGTGGGTAGTAACTTCTCGATGGAGTGTGATCAGTCGAAGAGGTGGACAGTTACTTCTTAATGCAATGTGATCAGTCGAAGAGGTGGACAGTTACTTCTTAATGCAATGTGATCAGTCGAAGAGGTGGACAGTTACATCTCGATGGAGTGTGATCAATCGAATAGGTGGACAGTTACTTCTTAATGCAATGTGATCAGTCGAAGAGGTGGACAGTTACATCTCGATGGAGTGTGATCAATCGAATAGGTGGAAAGTTACTTCTTACTGCAATGTGATCAGTCGAAGAGGTGGGTAGTTACATCTCGATGGAGTGTGATCAATCGAAGAGGTGGACAGTTACTTCTTACTGCAATGTGATCAGTCGAAGAGGTGGGTAGTTACATCTCGATGGAGTGTGATCAATCGAATTGTGGACAGTTACTTCTTAATGTAATGTGATCAGTCGAAGAGGTGGGTAGTTACATCTCGATGGAGTGTGATCAATCGAATGGTGGACAGTTACTTCTTAATGCAATGTGATCAGTCGAAGAGGTGGGTAGTTACATCTCGATGGAGTGTGATCAATCGAATGGTGGACAGTTACTTCTTAATGCAATGTGATCAGTCGAAGAGGTGGGTAGTTTCTTCTCGATGCAGTGTCATCAATCGAATGGTGGACAGTTACTTCTTAATGCAATGTGATCAGTCGAAGAGGTGGGTAGTTTCTTCTCGATGGAGTGTGATCAATCGAATGGTGGACAGTTACTTCTTAATGCAATGTGATCAGTCGAAGAGGTGGGTTCTTCTCGATGGAGTGTGATCAATAGAAAACTTGGGTAATTCCTGACGATTTAGTTTAATCAAAATAATTAGATTAGTTAAACATTGATTGGCTTATTTATAATTGCGAGGAGCTCGATGACGTGGGTGGTTTGCTAACCACGTTTGGCTGCAATCGTTGAAGTAAAGCAACTTTCGCAGTAGTCGGTCATTAGATGGGTGACCAAAAATCTTCTATATCGAGCTCCTCCGTGCTTCGGAAGGCACGCTAAGCCGTTGGTCCCGGCTGCATCTGCAGTCGTTAGCACCCGCCAATCCGCACTGGGCCCGCGTGGTGGGTCATGGCCCAATCTCCCTATTCCATCCATAGGGAAGGCTTGTGCCCTAGCTGTGGGGACTAAAATAGGCTGATGATGGTAATTGCAAAGTTCTATTTGGTCCCTAGTCTTTTGATACTTATATATTTCTTATAATTTCAAATGTCATATGGGTACCATCTTCGGTGCAGTTTTTTTGAAAATTCTTAGCATAGATTGGTTAAATTCACAGTGAGCATTGTGTATCGACGTTTATATATTCCGTTCTTGAGTACGTTGTTCTCATGAATAATTCAGGGTGTTACAAAAACTAGATTATGTACTAAGCGAAATTAGTTTACGTCGTCAAGTGTGCACTGTCATCTTGTGCGAGTGTCATTTATTCTTAATCCGTTAAATTAAGTTGTAAAACAATGTCAAAATGCATTATCACATTTAAAGGTTCTGTATTGAAATGGTAACAATGGAACCCAAATGGTTTCTGGGTTGCAGTAACAACTCAGCTCCTGCTATCCGTCCGTTTGTCTGTCAGTGAGCTAGCCGTGATAACAAAACAGTCATAATTATCATTAAATTATCATATTTCTAGAGCTCCTACTAACAAACCTAGGTTAATATTATAATTAGTCCTTAATACAAGAATTCTCACATTTTTACAGATCTTTGCTCGAATTTAACATTTGCTGTAATTGAAATGTTTGTTTGGCTGTATCAGCGTCATAACAATGATATGTTCAATCAAAATGCGGTTCAATCTCTCCGTACACCGCCAACTTTGGATATTTCGATTTCATCTACAATGGAGTGCAATCAGTCGAAGAAATGCGTGAACTGCACGATGAAGATAAGGTAGGTAGTCATGACGCTGATGATGGCCATGGGCAGCCGCGCGTCAACGGGGATCTCTTTATCTGTGACTGGATAGTTACTTCTCGAAGGAGTGGTAGTTAGTTCCTTCCAGATAGAGTGTAATCATTCAAAGAGGGGTGTAAACTACACAAAGACGATAAGGCAAGTGGTCATGACGCTGATTATGGCTATGGACAGACACTCGTCAACGGAGATCTCTTTATCTGTGACTGGGTAGTTACTTCTCGAAGGAGTGGTAGTTAGTTCCTTCTAGATAGAGTGTAATCAGTCGAAGAGGGGTGTGAACTACACAAGGACGATAAGGCAAGTGGTAATGACGCTGATTATGGCTATGGGCAGACACGCGTTTACGAGGATCTCTTTGACTGCGACTGGGTAGTTCCTTCTCGATGGAGTGTGATTAGTCGAAGAGGAGGGTAGTTCCTTCTCGATGGACTGTGATCAGTCAAAGAGGTGCGTGAAATGCACAATCACGATGAGGTAGGTGGTCATGACGCTGAAAAAGGCCACGAGCAGGCGTGAGTTCATTGGTAGTTTATTGATTTAGTTTCTCTTCATGGAGTGCAATCAGTCAAATAGGTGCGTGAACTGCACAATGACGATGAGATAGGTAGTCATGACGCTAATTATGGCCATGGGCAGACGGGCGTCGACCGGAATGCGTCGCCACACGTACAGCTGGCTGGGCCGCGCGCTCATGTACACCAGCGTCTGCTGGATCTCGAAGCGTTTCTGCTGATCTGAAATAAATAATAAATAAATAAATATTTCCAACACTCACACCAATTAGCCTAGCCCCAAAGTAAGCACTGTAAGGCTTGTCTTTGGTAACTTGGGCTTGCTAGGGTAACGGATAGAATACATATACTGTACATATATAAGTATATTTACATAGAAATACATATTAAACATCCATGACTGGTGTACAAATGCTCGTATTCATCACACAAACATCTGACCCCACCGGGATTCGACCGGGACCTCGCGAGTCGGCGACACCATGAAACCCGGCGTACGAACCACTCGACCACGGAGGTCGTCAAAAATGAAACAGTAATATCATCAATCCTCCGTTACTTTTCTTTTTAGTATTTTTACGTTAATGAGGTGGCAAATAGTTTCCAGGGCACCACGGGGTAGGGGATTGGGACAGGGTAGGCAACGATGCGAGTGATATATTTGGAACGCAAGAGTCTATAGGCTATGGTCGCTTACCATCAGGCGGGCCTTATGCTTGTTTACCACATTTTAACATAACAAAACATGCGGCTGACGAGCCCATCTTGTTCGCGCTGTAATAAGCGTAACAAAAAAAATCCTCTATAAATAAAAGGCTTTATTTATACGTTCCTAAAATTAGTTCCGATTTCGGTCACACGACACTATATCTTGGTCGCACTGTAGTAAGCGAACGTGTCCATAGACTCTTTTATTACCAAAAGCATTACAACTTTTGAATGATGAAATGAAATGAAAAGTCATTTATTCAGTCTAGGCTGTTACAAGCACTTGTGAAGGTCAAGAAGCTACGCCATCGGTTCGCAAAACTACGGCGGGAGACCTTGTACTGAGAAGAACCGGCAAGAAACTCAGCAAGGGCTGTTTTTTTCTCCCTGTATTGATATATACAGAGTCTTCAGGTTGAAAAATGACTTCAGAGATATTTCTGAAGTCACCTTCCATTACATTATTTAGGATATAGATATATAGTTACAATAAATTTTATATTTAGTATATAGGAAGCGGCATTAGATAGGTACCATATTACTGTTACAAAAACTGACGACTGAATGTAGTTACGGCCCATGGTTTCCCAAGTCAGCATTTTTTTATTTCAACAGTGAATATCAATCCGCCTATGATGAATGGTGGTGTTGTCTATCTTATCATCACGTCTGATTATCTGTGATCTGTATCATCAGACGTGATGATAAGGAAGACAACACTTTTTTTTGTTGTTGAGGGTGTATGCTGTTGGTCGCAGATGACCTTTACAGTGTTACCGGGTTTGGGGACGGCGAGATCCTAAGGGGACCTCAAGCCCAGAATTGGCGAGTGCCAGGCTGATGGCATTTTTCCACGGAGGGAGTCTCCTCTCCGCCTGGAGCCTCTACACCACTCGAACCTGAGGGGGTCGGCTAACTAGAGGGCGTCTCTGAGACTCGGACCTCGGCTCTAGTTAGCCGTTGTCATGAGGGGTGGGGAAAAACGCCCAGGTATGTACCTGTACCTGGTATAGCGTGTCGTGTGTAGACCGGGTCTTCGCACTCTTATCCTACGGGTGCGGTGTCTGCCTAATGCTAAGCTAGTGTGCACGTTTGCTAGCTGTGTAGTGTTGGTGTTTGTGGCCTGTGTGGGAGGAATCGGAGGCGCGTTGGCGCGGGTGATATCGTCGTCGGGGTTATAGAGGACGGTCTAAGTAAGCCTTTTATATTTCCAATGACTCTTTACGAGTTATTATAAACCAGCAAACCAGTGAACCAAATGTTCACCAAAAAAAAATGTATTTAATTAATTGAGAACTTCGGAGATTTTGTGTGGTTTCGTTTGAAATAGAAATCACGTGATTTCTCGAAAACCGGAAGTGCTACGTTACTCAAATCCGGTTTGTAGTCTTATCAGACTATTCTTAACTTATAACTTAAACATTCTCTTTATCTATCTCTTACGGTTTGGCCGCTGAAACAGCACCACGGACGGACGGACGGACGGACTTGTCTAACAGATAAGAGATTCCATTTAGTGAGGAGATTTAACGTTATAATTTTTATTTTTTAAGCATCTAACTGCTTGATGTTTAAATCTAAAGGAAATATAACTAGAAAAAAATCCACGCGGACCAGGCAGCAGACGGGACTCGAACCCGCACCCTTCGCTATCTGGGCGAATGCACTGACCAATGTTTAAATCTAAAGAAAATATAACTAGAAAAAAAGTTGTATTTTCTTTAGATTTAAACATTAAGCAGTTACAAAGGGCAAATGCACTGACCACTGAATTATGCTACCGCAGCCCTAACGGACCGCGTCGTAATTCTTCTAGCCATTCTTAAGCTGCAAGGCAGCGCCATCTCTTCGCATTATAGGTAACCCACAATGTCAAATGAAAACTTTTACAAGTATTAAAAATTTGAAAGAAGGAATAGCAATTATAGTTATAATTTTTATTTTTTAAGCATGTAACTGCTTAATGTTTAAATCTAAAGAAAATTAACTTTTTTTTCTAGTTATATTTTCTTTAGATTTAAACATTAAGCAGTTACATGCTTAAAAATAAAAAAATATAACTATAATTGCCATGTCTTTAAGAATGGCTAGAAGAATTTCGACGCGGTCCGTTACGGCTGCGGTAGCATAATTGGTCAGTGCATTCGCCCGGATAGCGAAGGGTGCGGGTTCGAGTCTCGTCTGCTGCCTGGTCCGCGTGGAATTTTTTCTAGTTATATTTTCTTTAGATTTAACGTGTTTAGTAATCCTCATTCCACCACTTATTCACCTGCATCAGCATCCTGTCAATATCATCTAAGCCACAAGATCTTGGTCGCACTGTATCAGGAGAACCGTCTGCTCATTTTTCTAACGGGTGCTGCCAGCGGAGATGAGTCTGCTCTTGCTTCATTGGATACTATTAACCGTTGTCATCATCATCATCATCAGCCTATTAATGTCCCCACTGCTGGGGCACAGGCCTTCCCTATGGATGAAATAGGGAGATTGGGCCCTGACCCACCACGCGGGCCCAGTGCTTATTGGTGGGTGCTAACGACTGCAGATGCAGCCGGGTCCAACGGCTTAACGTGCCTTCCGAAGCACGGAGGAGCTGGAGATAGTAATTTTTGGTCACCCATCCAATGACCGACCACTGCTAAAGTTGCTAAAGTTCAACGATCGCAGTCGAACGCGCTAACCACTTGCGCCATCGAGCTCCTCAACCGTTAACCGTTGTACTAAACTTTAATCGTTCATTTTTTTTGCCTAAACAGCAGGACACGGCATTCCTAAACTTTGTTAAACCAGTTTTTTGTATAGTCATAATTTTTATTATATTAGCATTTGTAATGGAAAGTGACTTTATGAGTTACCTCATATTGAAGTCATTTTTCAATTTGACGACTCTGTATACAATACAGGGAGAAAAAAACAGCCCTTGCCGAGTTTCTTGCCGGTTCTTCTCAGTGCAAGGTCTCCCGCCGTAGATTTGCGAACCGATGGCGTAGCTTTTCGACATTCACAAGTGCTTGTAACAGCCTAGACTGAATAAACGATATTGAATTTTGAATTTTGTCTCACAGAAATCTCACCTGTTGTACCGATCAGGTTGTTGTGCAAGGTGAGTGATATTTCGTCCGCATGTGTGTTCACAGCCTCCGCAGCCAACGTGGATACACTCATCAGGATGCCCATCTGCAGCACGACGGCGTATTGCACCGTCAGCAACACCCAGTTTTGCTGAAACCAAACTTTTCTATACTTATGTTTTTTATTTATTTTTAAGCATTTAACTGCTAGATGTTTAAATCTAAAGAAAAGTTTACTAGAAAAAAATCCACGCGGATCAGGCAGCGGACGGGACTCGAACCCGCACCGTTCGCAATCCGGGCGAATGCACTGACCATTATGCTACCACGGCCCTATTCGCCGCGTCGAAATTTTCCTAGCCTTAAGCTGCAAGGCAGCGCCATCTCTCTCATTTTTCTAGTAAACTTTTCTTTAGATTTTCTATACTTCTTCATCTTAGTATGCAGCTAAATGCCTTCTTTTAGAATTCCATTAGATAGTATAACGTGTCGATTCTGTACATTAATCTATGCATCTTGACACAGTGCCCCGGATGGATTAAGCAGACGCTTCTCCTTACATCAGTCTCATTAAGTAATATACAGGGTGTAAAAAAACCTTTAACGTCGAAAGCCACGTACTTTAGACATCATGAAAATCATTTTTTTCTTCTGGACCATTCCTGGGAATTTTATGGTTATGGAGGTATTGAAGGTCAAAGCCAAATTTGTTTTTTTCTTAATATTTTCAAAACGTTACTTAGGAACTTTTTTATAGACGCACTTACACACGCGCACACACATACACACAGGCATATTCTTTGCGTAGCGCCTAAACTAAATAACTACGTATTAACGGTATGATTGATTTGTTCAGTGATGCGTGCATTTATTTATATAAGTAGTGGATTCTGACAGCAGAGAAAGCGATGCACAGAGTTCTAGGTTAGGAACTCCGACACGAAAAGCTAGAAACACTAGAGGGATTGTTGCGTACTAAAAGATTTATAGCAAACAACAGGCAGTCTAGCGCAGAATATTTTCAGTAAAAATATGTATAATTTCCAAAAATAAACATTTAAAGAACAGTTCCTGCGTTTTTAAACTTGAAAAATCTTCTAAATTGAGTTGGTAGATCTACCAATTTTGCATTTTACATTCTACCAACATTTGGCACATAATCTACTCATCATCATCATCATCATATCAGCTGTACGACGCCCACTGCTGGACATAGGCCTCCCCCAAGGATCTCCACAACGATCGGTCCTGCGCTGCCCGCATCCAGCGTTTTCCCGCGACCTTCACCAGATCGTCGGTCCACCTTGTAGCGGGTCTTCCCACTGAGCGTCGTCCGGCACGCGGTCGCCATTCGAGAACCTTTCCGCCCCAACGGCCATCGGTTCTCCTCGCTATGTGTCCCGCCCACTGCCACTTCAGCTGGGCTATTCTTCGAGCTATGTCGGTGACTTTAGTTCTCCTACGGATCTGGTCATTTCTGACTCTATCACGCAGGGAAACACCAAGCATAGCTCTCTCCATTGCCCGCTGGGCGACCTTGAGCCGTCCTATGAGACCCATAGTAAACGACCACGCCTCACTGCCATAGGTCATCACATAATCTACTAATTTTCTAAAATTCGGGTTGGCAGCACTGCTACTGGATCCTACCCATCAGCAGAAACACAACACCACCAAAAGATAGTGTTATTAGAGTGTGTACTTCTGTAAGGTGGATGTTGCTTCTCCTGACAGGCGCTCCAATTCGAGTTAGGTATCCGCTGTGCTCTACCTCTCTCGGTTATTTCACTGTAGTGATCGTTGAAGTTAAGCAACTTTCGCAGTGGTCGGTCATTGGATGGGTGACCAAAAATTAACTATCTCGAGCTCCTCCGTACTTCGGAAGGCGCGTTAAGCCGTTGGTCCCGGTTGCATCTGCAGTCGTTAGCACCCACCAATCCGCAATGGGCCCGCGTGGTGGGTCATGGCCCAATCTCCCTATTCCATCCATAGGAAAGGCCTGTGCCCTAGCAGTGAGGACATTAATAGGCTGATGATGATGATGATGATGAAGGCGGAGGTAAGTTCCTGTTTACTTAACTAATGTTATATCTTGCCATATGGGATATAACTTAATACTTACTTGCGTTTTGACCTCGTGTAGTACCATATATTCAGTAGTCATAAAACGAGGGACGGCTATGATTATACCTGTCAGAATCTGAAAATAATTTTGAATTACTGCCAATTATTTCGACTATCATTGTTATCACAAGAAAGTTGGTATATAATTAAAAATACAAGTTTTGTCTACAATAATGTGAATGGTCAGGGCGTCTCATGGGCATGACACGAGGGAAAGTATATTAAATATTGAAGAAAGGATATTTTACTCAAAGAAGATTTTATTTTTATTAATAAGTAGAACTCCATTCACCGATTTTTTTAAATCGCCTGGCACAACCCTTGCGATGGTTAGGTGATAAAGTACGTGATGTGTTTTTAAAGTTTGATTCCCGGTTGTGAAAGGCGATTTAAAAAAAACTGTGAATATAATTATACTTATTACTAAAAATAAAATGATATCTTCTTTCAGTAAAGTATCCTATCTTCAATATTTAATATACTTTTTTTCCGTGTGTCAATGCCGTGGAACGTCCTGTATACATAGAAGCAGCAAGCCATGCAACAGGTACCTCATGTGTAGAAAAATAAAAATGTTTGTATTATTCATATACTAGCGACTTCGTTCGCGTGAACTATAGTTTTTGAGAATCCCACAGGAACTTGACATTCTTTCCGGTATAAAAAGTATCCTAAACTATCTTACAAAGACACAAAATTTCACATTTATAATATTAGTAGGATATGAAGTGTCTCAATCAACCTCTCTAATGCCGCAATTACATTTGGTTCTTAGCCTGTATTCGGGTGCACGAAAGACATTATTCGAATTCGGGCACCCGAAGCAATATTTACATTGGGGCCGTCCATATATTACGTCATTCTAAATTAGGGGGGGGGGGGGTTGGTCTGCGGATGACGGTAAATGATAGATAGGGGGGGGGGGGGTGTTTCGAAATTGACGTCATTCTTATTTATTTATTTATAGTTTATTGTTCACGTACAAAAAGATTATTTCTAAAAAGAAATTTCTTCCAGCACACCTCGTAAGTGAGACTGCAAATGTGAGAGGCGGCTAAGGCGCGTACAATACTAAAATAACTCATAATAAACAGATGTACACAAATACAGTAGTAACTACAGATAAAATACTCTAACAATAATATTACTACTAATAATATTATTACTTATTCTATAACCAAGTGTTTTAATCATATAATACCCTATTTTTCTCAAATCTGCAATGTTTTAATTTTGTCAAACTGGTAATGACGTCAATTTTGGGAGAAGGGGGGGGGGGGGTCATTAAGAAATGACGATAGGATGATTGTAGGGGGGGGGGGGGGGTCTAAAATCTGAAAAAATCGATGACGTAATTTATGGACGGCTCCATTGGAATATGGACTGGAAGACGGTGTCGGGTAAACAAAAGGAAATCTACCCGAATACCGAGGGCGTAATCTGTAATGCGAACCATTTAGAAAAACTGAAATATTAGGTCTTTGCTTTACGAGCTCAGCTCAGTGCAAAAAACACTGTTTAATTGTAAGCTTAGTTAAAATTTTGTATTGGTGAATAAATATATCTTTGATTTTTTGATATTATTTTTAAATCTACCCGAATACGGGCGCGTTCAAATGAACGGAGTCGAGTATTCGGGTAAACGACTAAATGTAAATAAACTTGTATTCGGGCTAACGATTAGGTGCAATCGCGCCATAAGGCATTGATGACGATAATTTTTGATAAATCGCCATGCTGATTTGAGGAGGTTGATTGTTGTTTCCAGGGACTGGGTCCATTTTAATAAATCCAGAATGGTGTTAATTTCTTAATGTTTATAGACATATGTATTTTTATGTTAATGTTAAATTGGTTTTCCTTGAGCACATAGGTACATATTCGATGTTACAAAGTGGGATGATCATTATTGGCCTCCAAATTTTTAAAAAATAATTTTTCATGTAGAAATATATCGAGCTGTGATTGTCTTTATAATAAATAAATAATGTTTGTTAACGTAATAAAATCTATAGTGTTTTAAAATTTCATGGTCACTGAAATAGCTACTACTAACGGGATTGTTACCATGTACCTGGTTTTTAATGAACCTCTGATATTTCGGCACAGTTGCAAGAACCATAAATAACAAGGTACATGGTAACAAACCCATCAAAAGCTATAATAAAAAAATCTAATTGTAAGTTTCTCGCGTTACAAACAAAACACTCACCAGTTTATCGAACACAGGTTTGATTCTGTCCACCGAGTCCAAAATGTTCCTGTACACTCTCAAAGTTTTGTTGGCATCGCAGTGAGAGGTTACCACTTTGGATTTCAAATTACTCATGTGTCTGTAATAAGTGTACATGATCATATACTGAACCAAAAGTAAGGAATCGAAAGCGTAATTCGATACAACTTTCATCAGAAATTCAAAAAACGTCAGCGTACAGAAATCTCGTTTGTCGGCGTGTGCACAATAAATAGCTGATACCACAATTTTGAATAAAACCGATATGAACGGCATCAGAACTGCCCTCACTACAACATCACGCAGAATCCTCCTGTTCTCTGTCCACGAGTCTAACTCCTCAAACTCCATCACGTATTCGTACAGAGTGTAGTTCGAGAAAATTAATATCAAACAGTATACTTGGTACTCCACCGAATACATTAGATAGTAAAACAATCCAATTTCATAATCCAGAAAAGATTTACATAGCACCACTGCAATGTTTACTGAAAACACGATAGTTATAATTTTCAAGAGGATTCCCCACTTTTTTGATAGAACTTTCGCATAGCCGTAATCTAGGCCTGTTATCACTTGGAGTATTGTGAATAATATAAACGAGGTTCTGGACAGAGGCGGCTTTGCGTGTACGTCCATCTTGTTGAAACGTGTCACTCGACTTGTTGAAAGGCACACGTTTCGGCAGGCCGATGTGTGAACCGATATGTTGGTAATTAATTAAACAGACAGGTCATCGGTCGTAAAGTTGCGTGCGACAACAAACAATTGTAATCTTCCTTTCTAAATGGCCTCTATTGCTGGCGTGCGGTTAGGTGTTTTCATTCAATATGCGATAGAATATTTGAAGCTGACACACAGGTGAAACGGATGTCAATGAATGAATAAATATTTCCTACACTCACACCAATTAGTCTAGCCTCAAAGTTAGCTGTTATGGGATTCAAGGGTAACCTTTCCGTTACACGTAAACTGACACGTAAATAAATATATTTATCCAGAAATACACAAATCCATAAACAAACATCAATGGGCGTGGAAGTTATACAACTTTCGCAATGATCGGTCGTTGGATGGGTGATCAAAACTAAACTAAAGAATAATACTAAAAGAATATCTCGAGCTCCTCCGTGCTTCGGAAGGCACGTTAAGCGGTTGGTCCCGTCTGCATCTTCAGTCGTTAGCATCCACCAATCCAACTGGGCTAGCGTGGTGGGACTTAGCCCAATCTCCCTATTCCGTCCATAGGGAAGCTCTAGCAGTGGGGACAGTGAATAGCTGATGATGAATAATGATATGTCAATAATTATCATCATTAGAATCTAATGATGATGAAGACATATATGATATGTCTAATGAAATTTAAACTTATTATTGGATGCTACTCTTCATATATCAAAATAACAATTAAGCCTTGAAATTTTATATCGTGTGCGTGTGTATCAAATGCATGGTAGTGTGGTTCATCAATTTAATGCATTTTAAACTTTGACTTATTTCGACATTAGTTTTCTGCACTCCATTTTAATATATTTAATTTTAAGCAAAATGATAATTTCCCACTCTTACGTGTGTAAAGTGTGCTTAGCAGCACGAAAGTTTTATCAAAGTACAATATAGGCATAGTAGAGCGCGGCAGATTAACATAAGGGGGGTAACCTTACACCTAGTGAAGTACTCGTAGGTATGGACCTGAGTCCTTTATGTAGGTAGACCCCGAACGTCTAGGACGTTCAAAAAACAATCGGCCATCACTTTTGGTCTAATCAAAATCATCAGTCTTTTGAGAAGGAGCTGTAGGATAGCCAAAGGAGAAGATTTTCCTCCGAGCTGATTGATTTTAGCTCGAGGGCCGCGGCCTAACTGGTGTCGGTCGGGCATTGTATATATGGAGTGTTAGCCTCCGAATTTCACTTGCGCGATGTAGGCTTCCATACTTTTGTGAGCCCAGCGCCGGTAGCGCCATCTCTTGAGGAGGCAAGTGATTATTTCACACCATGTTGGTTATATGTGGGGCATGTAGATGTCACCGCCACAAAGCTATTGGAGGGTTCACGATCCCCTACTCTTGAAGGATCTTGGCGTAGCTTTGAGTAGTGATATGAAAACTGCAAACCGCGTTACTTGTCCAAACTTATAGCTCATTTCATAGAACACAGAAAGAGGTTAGAATCGCCTTGTGGGCGGGGCAGGCGCGCCATTGTTATGTGTCAGCAAATGCTCATAACTTAATACTTTATTCTGATTGCATCGTTGCTCCCGGGTATGAGAGCTGATTGGCTTAATTGTTTGATGTCACGTCGTTTGATTGGCTATTATCTATTAAGTACAAGTGTAGTGGGGGCGAGCCAGCGACATCGGTTCTCCTACAAACGATCTTTGATCCTTCAAACCTCTTTCTGTGTTTTGTGGTTCATTTATTTATAAAAGGAGTTTTTTAAGAAATTCAACTAAAAAAATCGTTGGCACAGGATCGGCAAATTCGGTAGTGCAGTATGTATACCAACAACCTGATTTTAATTAAAGTCCCTTCAAGTCGAATGGGTTCGACTTCCGCGTCACATAATCGCAAAATAATAACAACACGTTTTCATTTCCCATTATTTTCCATAACTTCGGAGAACTCGTGACCTAGTTTTTAGAGCGTGCTTGATTATGGAAGTCAATCAACTTTCGCAATGACTGATTTTAGGATGGGTGACCAAAAATATAACTAAGTTCAAAGTTCAAATCATTTATTGCACCACGTTGTTACATTGATCTTAGGTAGACATTTATAATTATAGATACAAACATGACCCTGCTAGGGCATTGCAAAATACTAAATAAACAAAACAATACTCGGGTGCCAGGCTGATTACATTTTTAAGGTGTATCAATAATAAAATTAATAAAAGACTGTCTCATGCAAAATTAATTTTAATGATTGATGATGATTTTATATCAATAATAAAATTAAATTAAGATAGGAAAAGATTTTATATCAACATAAAAACGAAACCACTGAAAATCAAGACATAATAAATTTTCTTTACCGCCTAGTACTTTTAAAGATAATTAGAGTGGAATTGGAGGCACCGACTCCAAATGTAATATAAATATTAATTAATGACGTAGTGAATATTTAACTTATGTCTAAAATTGGAATTCTATCAAATTCGATACATAGAATTAATTTTGAAGAATTACCAAGTGGTAATCCATCATTGCCACCTGAGGATTTCATTAGTACAACATTTATTTCGATATAAAAATCTAGCAGTAAAATGAATTAATAAAAAAATATACCCAACATAACAAATTTACATTGCTAATTTTTTTTCAAATCTTTGATACTAGTTAAAGTATGTCACTTGAATTTGTTGTTACACTTACAGTTCACTTGATGATCTTTAAATTAAATAATAAAGCCCATAGGTGCGTTTTTGCAATATTTCCTCATACTTCTACTGCATCGTCATTATCGCAGCAGTGTGTAACTTCGTAATCGTTCTCATATATAATGTACTAAATAAACGCAAGAACGCAACCGATATTATCGACTGATAAAAAATGCCCATAGAGTTTAGCCTAATACAGGTAATTCAACACGTAAGAAATATCTTTTGTAATAATAACTTTTTGTTCCATAAAGTTTAGGGTGACAAGTTACGAAAACTCAAGTTAGAGAACTGCACCATGACGATAAGGTAGGAGACGATCATGTTGACTATGATGACGGCGAGGTTCCAGTTCAACGGTATCACTTTACACACGGTGAAGCGAAGGGGGCGGATGTCGATGTAGTTGGAGAACTTCCTCAACTCGTTACATTGGTCCCAATCTAAAAGTGAGCAATCATTGTGAAACGAATTCAGATTACAAACTTTGATTGTTGACTATTTCGAAAACACCGAAATAGGTTATTTTTTTTTATAAATATTACCGACAGATGACTCCGCCTCATCTGATGTTAAGTTATCTTGGAGTCCAGACGCGAAGAAAGTTGGTACAGCAGTTTTACCAGCCACACCAGCTATCCTCACCTTGCCGGCCTGCATATTGCTTCTACACGCGTCTTTTTTCAAGGATCCTGGATTATAGGAGAAAGGGAATCCATTTGCGGATAGTGCGACAATGAAACTAGTCATCAAATTTCTTTGTTCGCATGGGAATCGTGGCCACAGAAACTGGGTGACAACTGACAACGCAGGTCAGCGCGCGTGGTCCTCTGAAGGAAAAGGGAAGATGGGATAAGGGAGAACAACTTCTCAGAACACTCTCCGTGATAAAAACCATACAAGAAAGATAATTTTAGTTTTTTTTAACAAAAATGGAATATTACTACACGGCTACGCTGATTGATGAGATGTTTATACTTACCTTTCTCTTGCAGCAATCGCTCATGGAGCACAAGTTTCAGCGTTTGGGCCTGATCAGCCAGCATACCAGCGGCAAAAGCTGGACTAAATGTCACAAACAAAATTCTCATACACCACCATATACTCGCGAATGCTGAGGACCATACCTGAAAGATCAGGCAACGTTAAATGGACTGATCAATAGTAGTAGTTTTGATAAGTCAAACATAATTAATTATGACTTTAGACATGACACCGTTACTTTAAGTTTTTATGGGATTATCAAAATATTTTTTCGTAGATCACTTGTAAACATTCATGTTTCTGCAGGAAGATATTCAGTAAGTTTTCGTCTTATCAAAGTGTCTCTAGGGATTTTATGAAATTTCAAAATCGACGCCGGAAATGTCTAGTTATTCTATAAAGACAAAAGTTTAAGGACATACCCCTTCAGATTCCGTGGCGAAAATAAATACTGTGCCAAATATAGCTGTTAACATTTCGGGGACATTGAACAGCAAAGATATTATGTACTGAAAGAGATTAATATGATTTAGGCAGTAAATGTTAGTAGGTGAGTGTTCAATATAATGACACATAGACAGGGCGTGATAGAAAATAATTACTTACCATCAAGTCAAAAGATTTCTTAGTTTTTTCTGTGCAATCGACCAAAAATTTGTAATTTCTTTGACTTGCTACTATGTCGTTACTGTCTTTAACAGAAACGGTGAATACCTTCAAACGTTGGTAAGCAAAATAGAATACCATACAATAAACCACGAGGACCACATCAGATGCCAACAAAATAATCAGAACGACGATCGATATTAACGTATTAGCGATGCAGGCACCAAGTAAAAAATAGCAATAAGTAAAAAGATTGAAGATTCGATAAAGGATTATAAGTAATATCAAAACGCTAATGACCCTTTTAGAATTGTAAATGCTACTATTAACGCCGACATTGGAATCGAATAAGCGTAAATTATCGAGGAGAGAACTAAATGAATTCTCGCCATTGGAAATCAACAAAGTTAAGACATACGCAGCATATTGTATACAGATTACTGTGTACCATATGAACTCCCTGCCGTTCATATGACCATACATGTATATAACCGTGACTATAGCAATACAAAAACCAATTGAAAGGGATATCACATTTAAAATGATATTCTGTTTCAAAGATGTGTATTTTATGAAACCAAAATCCAGCGATAGGATTAATTTGAGCAAAATGAAATATAAATTACTTCTGTCCTTTTTCTCTATGTAAACATCGGCTTTAGGTTTGACTTTAATAGAATTTAGTGATTGCATTTTCAAATTCTTCTTCTGTAAAACCGAATTTATTTTGGACGACACACCCACTTTGGATAAGACAGTTTTTAGAATTCTATTTAATTTGAAGCACTTTCATTCTAGTAGATACTATAATTAAATTAGCCTAAATTTGATAAGACTTTCAATGTAATTGCGTTTGTAACTTATTATTGTACGGCGCTTTCAATGAATATTTCGATTTAATGAAACGCGACCGTCGACATAGAAGGATGACAAATGAATGTTACATTCCGGCAAAGTGTAATTACGGTTATTAATAAAATTACATGTCAGATAAATTAATAATAGGCGTATAAGGAATTGCCGTTTAAATGTCGTGCCTAATACAAAACAAAATTATACGAAGTATGGTGTAATATTCTAAAGTTTTATCAGGGAAACTGTAACAATCTCAATTTAGAAAAAAAGGAATTACAAATTAGCATTGATATTGTTTGTTTGTAAACACAGTTCGTTTATATTGATATTACAATTTGACACCCATTTCATACATAAAGAATATCCTTCGAAATTAGTATAAATAAATCATTAGCAATTTGTTTATTGGTTTCGTGGTACACAGTCAATGAAAATGCGCAAATCCCGCTACAGACCGTATATTGCTAAGCACATGGAAACTAGGTAGCACAAAGTGACGTGAGGTGTCGTTGTCGCGGACTGGCGCGATGGCGCGGGCGGCGGGAAGCCGCTCCATAGTGCGCGCAGGCACCTTTAGAGATAATGGTGTCAATTCTGGCATGATTCTCTAAACTTAAAACTAAATTTGACATCAGTCTCTCCTTTACAGACTCTATAGAAAATGATAAGGACACACTGTTGTCAAATTTAAGTTTAGGTTTAGAGATTCATGTCAGAATCGACACTAATATCAAACTACCTTAAAAAATAATAAAAATAAAAATTACAAATATAAAATATTAATAAGCGCGTCGTTAACAATTACAATATCATAATTCTTCGGAAGACAATGTGACTTCCTGTGTCCTCCTTGTTAATCGTAATGTTCATCATAAAAAGATAAAAGATAAGTGCAGCGGTTAATTCGCTTAGATTTTTTTCTGGGGAAATAACCACCACTTTAAAGAAGACCACAATGAAATAACACTTTGGATGGTTTCTATCAAAAAGTAAGCTAGGAACTTGCTCCACAGGTTTCCATTTTAATAATTCGCTTCAGATATTTTCATAAACTATAAAATCGTTCAATATATTCGGATTAGCTTTCACAAGCTAGACCATAAATATAAAACAGCAGCTCTCGGAAACAATTAACAACTAACGAATACAAAAGAAGGGAACTTACAAAACAAAATACGAAATGTGTTACACTGAAAAACTCCGTAATATATAATTTGAGATAAACTAACTTGAGATCTATTATTTTAGACATTTCTAAACATCGTTTCATATTCAAGGTAGACGTGGAATGTAATAAAGATAGAAGGAAGTAGCCGTGACGTCTTTCGAATAGCGATAAAAACACAACACTTTTGCAAGTGAAATTATTCAAGTATTGGCGATAAATAGCCTGTTTCAGGTCCAGGTAATGGGGAGGCGGTTTGGGGTAGCATTTTACGATCTACTTTCGCGGTGAAATAACATATCTATTATCTTAGCTCGCTAATCGAACTTTCTTTTGTATTATTATTTTATCGTAGTAATCAAAAATGGTTTTCAGCTTTGAACATGGATTTTTTGTCCCAAAATTATAATATGTCCTATTTCTTTGTTTAATAATATTGAATAAGTTTTAATTATCCAAAGTAAAGGTTTTTCTTAACGCAGATCGGTTTTTCTCTACATCTTTATATTCTTTGCAATCTTTATAACTAATTTTGGGGTTGATACAAATCTGCCCGTGATTAAACCAAATTCGCCCTCACCGACGGGCTTAGTCCAGATAAAGTTAAAGTATTGGAACAGGAATTGAAAGTTATAATATTTCAATCATTACTTCCACTCACTCGCACCGTCCCCACATCACTTTCTGTCTACCATTACGCTTTCACAGCTGATCACAGCGCTCGTGAACCTCGTGATATTATATGTACAACGTTCTGGTTTGTTTGTTTTATTTGAATTTTTGTGAAATTGATATTTACTATCACGAAGATGAGTGACAATATTATAAAGTGTGTATTTTGCGGACAAAATACATGTCAAAAGATTGTAAAATTTACATCGGTACAATTGTAAAGCTTACCAGAGACTGAAATGTAACACTTTTTTTTAATTGTATTTTATTATATTTGTCTTTTTTTAAATATCGAAGATGTCTGTCAATACGTGAATAAAATTTTTCGCCAAATTTTCGCACGAACCGCTGAAGCAAATGAGCTGAATTTTTTGTTATGAGTGTATCCTAATTTAACCCTGATTAGATTTTCAGCTTATTTTTATTTGCATGCTGTTCTTTGTGAGTTTTATTTATCACATTCAATGATTTGAAAAAAATCACGGAGAAAAATTTCTTTAAACCGTCAGATTAAGAAAATCTTTCCGAATATTCGTCAGATTATGGATCAGCATGACCAGAGCATCAAGCTGAACCGCCTGTATGAAAATCTGACGCGCTCGAGTTATTGCAGATGGCGATTTTTTTTGCATTTTCAAAAAGCCGTCACGAGCTTGAGTCGCGTACGAATCGTCAAAATTTTGGATCTGAGCTTCGTTTAGGCTCACTTAACGTCCCCTCTGAATATCTGACGCGCTCGAGTAATTTTTTTCCCCATTTTCAATCCATCGGTACGGCTAGTTCCACCATGCAAACCGGCAGATTAACATTCTTCCGTCATCAGAGACACAAGGGGCATATACAATATCAATATCTGACGCACTCGAGTATTTCCATGTGACTATTTTTTTTACATTTTTAAAAGCTTCTAGACGCTTGTTCCGCCTGTGAAAGGGTATCCATCATTTAAACTTTTTTTCTTTCTACCATCTGATCTTCAAAATTCGATAGGTCTCCACGCCGCTCGAGTAAATCCCCATTTAGCATCGTGGGCTCCCCTACTATTACTTACACTTAACATCAGTAGAGGGTTAGGTAATTTGTTGCGCCTCGTACAAAAAAAAAACAATTTTGGGCTATAGCGATGGCGGCAGCTTACCTTCAGGCAGGTCATATGCTTGTTTGCTTCCCAATCAACATAAATATTACCCATATAGTACTAGAATGCAATGTTTGGTTCAAAACATCGAGACAAAAACACATTAATATGAAATTAGTCAAATGTAAATCCCGACTAGGCTAGCTCACGCTATAAATTCATCGAGCGAGCTCCCACGGTAATTCCTACGGACAAGTACCTAGCTGGTGTACTAAACTCTCTTTAGAATAACCCAGTTTTTATTTATTTTTTATCAAAATGTGCTAAGTAAAACCACTCTTAATAAACTTTAACGTGCTTCGGAAGGCACGTTAAGCCGTTGGTCCCGGCTGCGTCTGCAGTCGTTAGCACCCGCCAATCCGCACTAGGCCCGCGTGGTGGGTCATGGCCCAATCTCCCTATTCCATCCATAGGGTAGGCATGTGCCCCAGCAGTGGGGACATTAATAGGCTGATTATGATGATGATGATAAACTTATGTAGAACGCATGCGTGTGGGTTTTCCAGCTGTATTCAGAAGCATTAAATTAATTCGTGTTGTCTCTTTCTATTGTTACCGCAGAGAAAGTGACAGCATGAACTTTATTACATCTGATCGTTAGCCCGAATACGTGTTGTGCCAAGAAATTCGGGTAAACGATTAAGTGTAAATTAACGGAGTCAAGTAAGCCCGTATTTTGGTAGATTTCCTTTTGTATACCCGAAACCGTCTTTGAGTCCGTATTCCTTGGTAAATATTGCTTCGGGTACATGAATTGGGGTATTATCTTTCGTACACCGAAATACGGTTTAGTGACCAAATGTAATTGCGAGTGTTCCAAATGTCATGTTTTAATGTAGAATCTACCTAGATATACGCGTTTTAAGAAGATTTGTTTAAAGCTTTCAGAATGTTAATTTTGAAATTCTATTTATAAATAACTAGCGGCCCGCCCTCGCTTTGCTTCGGTGTAGAGCTGAAGTGTAGACTACAGTTTTTGTTCTCAGGCTTGTATTATAAACAATGACATTCATCTATGATTCTTCTTATACCTGCATGCAAAGTCTCAGCCCGATCGGTTTAAAATTGACAAAGTTTCATAAAAACTTTCATTCCCTTTGGGCGTAGAATTGATCAAAATCCTTTCTTAGCGGATGCCTACGTTATAACATCTACCAGCATTCCAAATTTCAG